TCTCGTTGAGTGACTCGCTCGCTGGGAACCTAGCTAGCCTGTTGGAATGCTAGATTGTGATGTTGCAAGCGGAAAGGAAGAGGATAGATTGCAGGAGGTTCGAATAACTCAAGGCCGACTCAAGTAGCAGTGAGTGGTGAGGGCACGGTCAATACGATTGATTCCACTTCGCGCTCCATTGAGAACCGACTCCGTTATTTGCGGCGGTATCCTCGATCAATAATTCTGGTTTATCTAGTGATCGAGTGTCAGCGGCGCCATTTGAAAGGAATCTCATCGTTGCTATGATGACCCACATGTCATATGAGAGTATGCAAGCCGCATACTGTCGCCAGCCCTTCAAGTCCTTGTTGGCAGCTAGGACGTCGTGTGTAGGAGTTCGGTCCGGCTCGATCCCGCGAGCAAAATATCAGGACTCGACATCCGGTTCTCTGAGCATGGATCTCTCTGGGAACGAGCATCCTGGAATGAGGTTCCTGTAAGCGACCTACCGAGGCATTGGAACCAAGGCATTTCACGAAGTGTCTGTCGAGTTTCGATTCATCGGCGACGTCTCGCGTTCGTCGACGGATATCTCCGATTGGGGAATCTTCCTGCGTCGAGATGGACCATGGTAGTCTAGGGTGACACGAGGTCTGTCGTTTGCGAGAGCACTCCGGGTACAAATTCAAAATAGAAAATAAAGAAAATAAGGAGGAATGATCCTCCACACGGTGAACAGCTGTCCGTATCATCATCGGTTAAGTGTTCCACGTGGTATGTCAACAGTGTTTAGCAGCGCAAGCCGGGTGTTTCCCACGCTGTGCCGGCCCGCTACAAAGTGGCAAAAGGCAGACTCTCAACTCTCGTTTCAGCCGCTAGATGCCGGCGAGTCTGTCTGTTTGTCGGTCGGTCGATCGGCCGGGCGGCCGCCGGCCCGCTGGAGTCGCTAGCTTGTTCATTTGACCGTCCGTATGTCTGGCTATCGCTTTGTTAGTCTTCTCCTCGTCCTGCCGAGGTCCTATCGGTCCCATTCTGGCGGAGAGCATTCCACCGAGCCTTCTACTACTCGACGTAGAACTCCTGGACCATTCTGTCAATTGCGCCAACGTAACGGACGTAGGAAGGGTCCGCGGACTGAGGCCACACACTGTCGAACATCTAAACGGTGTCTTCGAGAAGATTCAACTGACGTCTCCGAATAATCAGGAAACACCGAGATTTTTCACACTCCTCGCTGCTGCTGCTTCCTACCCGGTTCACTCACTAACGCGTGAATAACGCTGATCGAGAAGAAAATCTACCGTTATCTTTCGAGCGAGGCCAGCGGAACAGCGGAAATCGATCTCGGCATCAGCGCTACTACACGAATCCATCTGCACGGAAACGAGTACTATTTTGTCGGTTGCTTAACGGCCATCATGCAGAATCATCATGAAATTCGAACACAACCGTTGTAGCCTAGGAGAAACGAAGGCGTGAAACTACGCGTAGTAGCGACGGCGCGGCGGCGGCGACGACGTAGGTCGGTCGGTCGTGTTGCCAACCCCGTAGTGAATGAAACGTGGATGATAAGCGAGAATCTACGAGAAATGTCGTGCAGTCGGTTGTGTTTCCCTGGAGATTTGGACGCTGGGGTTCCCCGAATGCCCGATCGGAGCGAAACGAACCAGTACTCCATCCGGAAATGTCCTAGTTTGCTCTCGAGCGTGAAATCATTCAAGGACGTGAGAAATCGATCGTCGGGTTCGCTTCTAACCGTATGGAATTTCGGCCTACGCTCCGGGACATGGAGCTCGCGTTCGAGAGATTTTCCATCATCTTGATCATTCCACCCGAAGTCCTAGAGTCTAGAAGAACGCGGAAATTTTCTTATTATCTCGAGTGAACAAGAGGTCCTTTCCTCCATTCTTTCAGGATTAGAATAGAGAGTGGATTCGTTGTTCCGCGTACAAGGCCGAGAGAATCAGATTGTTCCGGAATGTTTGCACAAGGCTACAGTTGTCTTCGCCTGCCTAGGGTGTATGTTGGAATGTACCCATGTATATCTGACTCCTTGTTGGCCGACCGAACGACCGCTCGTTTCGGTAGTGAAAGATGAAATTCTTTCTCACGCATCCGTTTTCGCCCTCCAGCTCTCCCTCTTTGCGGCGTTTGTTCTCGTCATTCTTCCTCCCGTGCTGCACCTGCACGACATCAACACCACCACCACCACAACGACCGCCACCGCCGCCAACACCACCGCTGCCGCCGCGGCTCCTGCGTGATGCATCGGTCTGCGCAAGAAAAAACCTCAGTCGACGACAACGAGAGATGAGAGTGAGAGGTCCGAGGTGGGGGGAGGGGCAGTTTCGAGGGCGATTGAATCAAGTCCGGTGTTTGCCCCCGGATTCACAGTATGGAGGGTGAAAGAGAATGTTTGCCGTAGAGAACAAGTGATGAAGAGGCTGGCTTGCTCGTTCAGCCCGATGGCCTGGCTCTCCGGCAGAAACTCCGGCGGCTCCAGTGGACATTTAAACCCATTCAGATCCGATGGATGGACGGACGGAAGGAGCTGCATGAGAAGAAAGAGCTTAGGGGCGATTCCAAATCGTCGGTGCCCGCTCGTCAGCCCCCTCTGGTCCTCTACCGTCGCTTCTGCCACCGCCGCCGCGGCAGAGTCTTCCTTCTCCTCCTTCTTCTCATTCTCTTTTCTCTCTTTTCCGCTATTATTCTACATACTTTAGCCGCTGGGTTCTCGCCCACTGTTTGCCCCTGGTCGATCATCGAGGAGCTGGATTTCTCTTCTCAATGAAGATACCGACATTCTTCTAAGAACGGACGGCCGCTCGACCGACCGGCCGGCCGACCGAAGGGAGGAAGGAAGGACCAGTCAACAGAAGACAGTAAGAAAATACGACGACAACCACAATCAGAGGAAAGAAGATAAGCGAAAGAAGAAGACTGGCCAGTCGATCTGTTGAGATCGCGGACCGGGACCGACTGAGTCGATGACAAGCTCCTCGCAGACAATAGCCTCCGCTGTGGTTCAGCTGATTTGCTACGCCAACAAGTTTTGAAGTTTAATCGATCTCGCAAAAGTTTACGCTCCGTTCATAGAAGGGGCGATCGAGCCGAATGGAAATCCGACGCGGAGCTTCGAAAAGAGTTAGTTGACGCTGTCAGTCCTACGAACGCCATCTTCGCAGGCCAGGTGATCACTCAATGGAAAATTTTACATGGTCGGACGCAAACGATCGTTATGTACGAGAGACACCATCCCCCTTCTGCGGAAGTCTGTAAAGGATGAGGAGCGGGAACCTAAGGCGGGGATCTCTGTACCGATATCGACTCCTGATCGGAGTAGGCTCCCGGTTCCGAAGTGGGAGAACCTTGAACCAGAGGCGGCTCTCAAGCCATTCTACCTTGCCGCGTGTACAAATACGTGTCAACCCATCACGTTAAGGTCTCCCAGCTGTCAATCAGACGCCCGCGCTCCTCGTTGCTCCAACTCACCGAAACCATATCTCTAGAAAAACACATTACCTCAAGACTAGCCTCAATCAAGATTACCAGTTTACGCTCCAAAACTTGGGAAAGATTCTCGGCTGCTCTAAAATTGATTCGTGTAGCGCACAAGCGACTCAGGGTACCGCTGAATTCCAAAGCAGTCCGGCGATCTGATCCGAAAGCGGTAGCGGAGCTAGTGCGGACTGGGATTTCCCGCTCCTTAAAGCCACAGTGACGGAGGAAATTGTCATTCTCGAATGGCTATGTGTTAAGGCCGACAGCAAAAGTTCTGAGCCGGCATGGAACACCCATCAGGACATGTACATGCATACATGTAGCTTGCAGCCTATAGGACAGATGCGATTCCTTTCAGAATAAAGGCCGAAAACGTTACGCGGGCCTGAGCGGAGGGAAGAGGGATCCACTGAGGCCATTGGCTCCACTTGACAGAATTCACATCTCGGCTCTCCAGTGTAGCTGTAGGACGATTCCGTGTTGGTCACCGAAACGATAGGAATCGGGTGAAGCCTCGGAATGTCATGCATAGCTTCCCCGCGACCCGCGAGGCGAGGTCTCGGGGGCGAGAACAGTCTCGATTCTGAAAAAATTAAGGGACCGGCTCCAAAGGTCGGAAAGTTTTCTCCCGAACGTCAGTTCCAGAGTCCGTGGTGGCTTCCGAGGTCAGCGGCCGAGCTGCCGGATCGATCGACCGGCGAGCTTGCAGACGATCCGACGTCTGGGACGATAGAAAACGGACAAAACTCCAGACGTGTAAATCGTTCCAACGGCGCGGCGTAGAAATTCTATTGGGCTCATCGGTCTGATTCTGAGAAAACTATGGGAATATAGAATGGAGCGGCAGGAGAAAGTACAGAGCGCGATCAGATGCTCCGATCAAAAATCCAGTAGGCGGGACACCGAACCAGAGTCTACCTGAAAGTATTTTGTGGCCCAGCGAGGAGCGTGTACGGATGAGTTTTCCATCGGCTGACTCAGCTGCGCAGTATCAATGTGAAATCATTCGGGTTGAGCTTCTTCCGTTGTCTCGTTCCCTCTCGGCACAACGAGCTTAGGTGGTCGTAGACCCGGTCGTCCGATGAAAGGGTCGAAAGTCTCTACTCGTTTTGGATATTTCTCCAGCCGAAATCCCGCTGCCCATACTTGAGACACAATTCGCCGCAAGTTCTCACTTAGAGCTCCCCGAGTCATTGACCTCCACGTTCCAACGACACCGAGATGCGATCCATGCACCGATCAGAGATTCGGGAACTATTCTAGACCTAGCGATTCGAATCTGTCTGTACGGGACGTTCGGGCTCGAGGAGAACAGCGGTGTCCCGCGTGGCGAGGGTTGAAAATTCGCACGGGGATCGAGATATGCTCCTGGCAAGCACGAAATAATTGTTCCTCACTCTCTCGGGAAATTTTATTCGCCAGTTTCAACAAGTGTCAGTCAGTATCGTATATGTTGCTCATATTATTATTATTTTACTATGATACAGTTTTGGAAGCAATGCCCGATACTCGACTTGCTATGTAGTTCCGGGCTGCTTCTCCGATATCGTACCCAGACCGTCGTTCGATAAGAAATCGAAGAGTTCATGTGACGTGATCGCCTCATGGATATCGGACGGCAGTATACCGTCCACCTGGTGCGTTGAGCTATTCCGTGCGAAAGACTGTGCGAGAGATTTCCTCAAGAGATCCGAGGAGAAACTACGCAACGCTCCAAACAGAGTTCTCAGTGTCTCTTCGAGTTCTTTTCTGTCCTCGGACAGGTTGGGCTCGTCCGAGATTTCTTTCATGGCGTCGTGGATAAACCGCAGCAGAGGCGCACCGACTTGGTTCTTGCTACTCGGGGCTTCGTCATCGGAATCCGAACCGAGAATGTCGATTTCGCATAAGGTCTCGGTTTTCTCCCGAATACTGGAAACTTCCAGCGATTCCACTCCGTTCGGCAGCTCGGCCACCGACAGACTCTCGAACTTCTGTTCTATCGGCACACCGATCATTTCCGTCCCGTCGTGGAGTGGAGTGAACCCGTGTTTTCGGAGATGAACAACGATCGCTCGGGTACTCGGCAGTTCACCGACGCCATTTTTCCGCAGAACTCTGCGGATATGACTCGCGCGGAACCACTCGATCGCTCGTTGTTTCGCCAGCGGAAACTCAATGAATTCCTCAATGGATGAGACTTGGAAGCTGAGATCTCCGACGGCTTTATCGCCCACTAGCTTGAAAAGACGGCTCGCGAGGGTTTCCACGACTTTCATGACAGGCCGCGAGAAGTCCAATGATTTCAGCGCTTGTTCCCATTCGAGGACCGCCTCTTGCCACGGAGTGACAATCTGAGCGGTTTGAGCATTGTGCTGGAAGGATCTGTTCTTCAACAAGGACTCTCCTTTCATTATGCGTACGCCAGGTGGGTTATCCCGGAGCATAGCGGAGCCTGACGCGACCAATAGAAAAGGAGCTCCACTGGAAATCGGGGTGAAACAATAGTCGTGCCCATGCGCTTCCAAGTCGAAGTGACTTCTCGAGGCGAGCTCTTTTCTGAGGTGCATGCCCTCGCCATCGATGGGAGCAAACTCCGGCTCCGGGTGATGAGTTTCGTCGAATACGCTGTTTTCATCGTTGTCGAGCACTTCCTGTTTTATTGAGATGCTTCCCGGTTCCGGCTGTTCCGGATTTTTCGTGACCGGACTATCGAGCGGTTTTTCCACGAGAAGCTTCACTTCGAGATGAGTTTCCCCGCCATTAGTCTGGATACCCCTCTTGTGCTGGTCGAGTTTGAGTTCGTGGAGTACGTCTGCTGGCTTATTGAGGGGGTCGATGAAATGAATCTGGGCTCTCAGCTGGAATTCCCCCCAACCCTTACGCTTCAAGTGGAATGGGTACGCAACTTCGATGACGTCATGCGGAGCATAACTCGGATGCAAGAAGAATCGGACTTTGGAAACGAGCTCTTCGATCTTTTCTTTGCTGTCGGGATGTAGTCGCACGTAGGTCATCCAGAGATGCGTCACCCGATTTTCGGGATCGTCACGTCCGATGTACTTCGAAACGTTACCGATGATGAACCGCACCGACTGGAGTGACTTCACCGTGGGTCTCCTGGCCACCGGCTCTTCCTTCAGGAGCGTTGCGGTGCTCAGCTTCTCGGGCAGATCGTAGGTGGCCCTCACCTCGCTCTCCGATTTGGTACGCGGCTCTCGAGGAGTTTTTCCGGCGAAATACGACCGTACTGTTGGATGGATACAGTTGTCAAGGTCGCTGCTCCAAGTCTTCTCATCGTCAGCCAACTCGGGGGTTGCGAAGTACTTCGCTATTATAGCGATTCTCAGACGATTCAGAACCTGCTTGGTGAGATAGATCCGTTCGTTGATGAGTTCAACTTCTGACTGCTTGGAGAGAATCTCCTGCTCGAATTGTTTCTCGATGATGGCCCGGACTTTCGTTTCGGTTTCCGGGTCCATCGATTCAGGATCTTCTGAAACGAGAACGGAATCGAATTGAGAACGATCGCCGAAGGTCCAGCTACTCCCTCGAAATACCTATGCTCTGAAGATCAGAAAATTTTCCTCGAATGTATCTGCGGTGTTCGATCTAAGAGCCAGTCGCCGATCTTTCGCGGCTTGCTCTCGCATCTCTCTCGATCGACCGATTCTCATCGGGCCCGTCGACTCATTCCTTTCTGATGTGAATATTTCGGAGTTGGGAGACGTTGCATAGTGAGAATCGGCAATAACGATCTGGCTCAAATCGGGCGATTCTTTCTGCAGCTTCAGTCCAGGTTCCTTCTCTCGGAGGATGCTTTGTACCGTTCATTCAGGGTGGCCATAGAGGAACATGCATTCAAAACGGGAAAGAATGGAGCCTACACAAACGACAAACTCAGCTCAAGACTGAGAATAGTGTGAGGCTATGAACCTTCCGATAAGAGTCTTTTGGCTACATTCCTCCCTCGAGGATATGTACATGATGATATCTGAGCCGAACTTTCGGTGGGGACGATCGCACGGAAAGCCTCTCCGTCGCTCAGTCAGTATTCCTGAATGCCGGAGCTGACACCTAGGGAAGAACATCTCGAAGAAGGGCAAAGACAAGCTGAATCGACAGAAAACGTGAACGCGACTCCGATTGTGATGGGAGCACCTTTATCGAGCACTAAAACCGGGGTCAACACGCGCTCGATTCTGAGAAAGATGCATGAAAGACACAAGAGAAAGAACAAGAAAATATCGACGCAGTTTGTCGAAGACCGCTGTTGCCGCAGTCCGGGCCATTTGGCAACAAGATTCGCTAATCGGAGCCACAGCGTAAAAAGGAATTAACGCTCACGAATTTTGGTGATTTTTCAACCAGCCCTTCTTACTCAGGCTACTTTCGAATTCCGATTCTTCAGCCAGATATAGCACCACAGAGATTGAAAGATGGCTCCGAAACGCATTGCGAGCTACGGCAAAGCGACGAGAATGCTCAAAACCAAAGCAGAAGTTTTTCCTTGAAAGAGAAGCTAACAAGCCGTCTGGCTCGCTCGTCATGATCCCGTATCGGAATCAATGTGGGCCATCGTCTTGAGACCCATCACCAAACCACGCCGGAGGAAGCTCAGAGTTTTTTCTGAGTCTGTGATCGCGCCCCGAGACGCATGGCGGCCTATGGAAGGCGCATCGCTTCGGATATCTGATCTCCGAAGCGATCATTCGGCGAACAGACCCCCGTGCCATCAATGATTGAAAGCACGTGCTCGCATTGCGCGCATCGGAAACTTTGGAAATCCCGAAAATAGCCCGCGTTAGTCTAATATCACCACATCATGCTCTTGGAGGCATCAAGGTGAAAAATTATCGGATACGGAAAGTTCGAAATCACGATTGAATACAATGTCCCCGTCGCAGAGAGGCTCTCCAGTCCTCCATATGAGCCCCATACTTTCGGCATGCTCCAGCCGGCCATGAAGACGGGAACCCCACGGTTTTCCGCGCGGGCGACTGACTCGGATCGAGCACGGACGGGTTCTAATTCGAGGCTCATCGTTTTTCGAGTTCTCCCGGAGCCAATGCCCTCGATTCTGTCGAGGAGAGCGGCTCAGCTCGATGGCATGCCACAAAATGGGCGCCTTTGCGTCTCATAGAGCGAGTCCGTCGGGGAAGCCCTTCGTACTTCGGACCAGCTGATTGCAAGGAGAAGGAGCTCGTGCGAGCCGCCGAACTCATCTACGGAACTCTTGCAATGCCCTCCGGTGAATGGTTGCCACAGCGAACTGACGAGCTCGACGTCGAACGAGCCACAGCACGAGCACATCTCCCACGTTATCCAGGATCGTCTCCTCACAGATGAAGCCTGTCGTGTCAAGGCGGAATAGGATCTGTTTCATTTTCCACTCAGGTTCGCCACGGGATTGATCGTCATCTCGCGGAATCACTATCGATGCTGAATAATGACATCATGACGGAGATCGGGTAGTTCGAGCTCCGAGTCGGCAGAAGACCCTGGGGCGATGCGAGAATGCCTCGGAACGCCTATCGCAAGTTTCCACTTCCGCCAATGGATACGACCAATGCTTGCGGCGCTCATTGCGGACGCTGCGTCAATTTTTAGAACGTCGGTCATTGATTCTGTTACATTGTTCATTGTTATGTGAAAAACACGGCTGTTACAGATTCGACTGAAGGCGGCCGAGATCGCCCGTGTTCCACGCCGCCGCCGTGGCTGCCTGCCAGGACGACATAGCGCTGGAAAACGCTGGCCGACGTCGTAGGCGGGGTCAGTGACCGGCTCACGTCATCGATGTATACTAGACGCTCTGCGCAAGCTGCAAAGGCAGGGATCCGCTCGAGGTGGAAATTTAAAACGACCTCTCACAATAGACCTGCCGAGGAATGTTACCATCCGCTCGCGAGCTGTGCGGATGATCCACGGCGAGCTTGAGAGAAACTCTCCGGGAGCAAACTCCGTTTCAGGGAAATTCGAACGCGGGACCGACATTGGTCTCTGATTTTCCCTATCGAGACTGAATCGATTCGACGAGCTTGATCCGTCATGGAACGGGCAATCGGGCGTTTCTCCAGTCGAGACTGAAGGTCTTCATTGACAGAGTTTGACGCGGGGAATTCACTTCGCTCAACTCTCTACGGACGGGTCGAACTTTGAATGTAATCCGCTGAAATTCCAAGGAGCTCGATCCATCGCACGAGATTTCCCAGGCTACACGATCACCTGAGCTGCCTACCCCCTGGAACACCGAATGTAGAAAACATTCCGACTCGTTATCAATCGGTCGTTTTCTCGTTTCCCTCGTTGAACATCTGCATGCTTGGCTTGGCAGATATGCGAGACGATGTGAATTGCGAAGGCGTGAATAAAGATTGCAGGGTGCGAACAAGAATATTCAGATATACATATGTCGTGTCATCACGAGCAAGCGTTGACCTCCGTCCCGTCGTCGTCCACGTAGGTATACGGCGAGTCGTGCCGGCCGGCCGACTAGCAAACGGAGAATGCTTTCTCCGGCAAAACGAGAGAAGCTCAATATTCTTCTTTTCGACACCAAAGAAAAAACAATAGAGTCTGGCGCCAATGTCTCCTACAAGCTCCTCGAGAATGTCGTCGACTGGCGCTTGTTTTACTGCTGTCAGCTCTCCCGCCTATGTCGACACGTTATAATGCTTCGAAACATCGAGACAATCGAGTACAGTTCGAGAGAAAGAACGAAAAAACACAGGGAACCCCGAGATAGCGGCAACTTATCTACAACCTGACTGGCACGCCTCTCGCTGGCTCCGAATGAATGCTTTTGGAATTCCCAACCGAGACGATTCTCCCGGAGGAGATCCGTCGGAGACGTCAAGTCTTACTTAATCAGAGTTCAGAATGGCTCGGGTCCCACAAAAAAATCAAAAAGCCCCCATGGGCTCAACGCCATGGACGCCGGCTCAAGCATCATGTTCCTGTAGCCATACATGATTCACTCGCGTAAAGATTTCTGCCGGGATACCGACGGTGGGACGTTCCTGTTCGTTCGCTACCCATCGACCAACTGACCGGACCCGATTCACAACAGAGGGGGAGATGATGTGATTGCTTCTACGAATCCAGACAACCCCTTTCACGAGGATGTAGCAGAGAAGGGCGGCGGCGGCAGTAACGAGTCTTTCTTTCTTCGCTCAAGTCTCTCCGTCAGATCCACGATCTTCAAAATTCTGCGATTTCGTTGGTCGGCGATGATGATGACGACGACGACGACCTCCCGGACCTGTTGACCTCGGGGAGGCATTTAAACTTGGCGCCATTTTTAAAGCGACCCGTTGTTCCTCTCGCGATACCCACCCTTTATCCTCGTCACACATGTATGGCAGCAGATGGCGCTCATCCGACAGCTATCGACGAAGCGATTGGGATGCTCTTTGGGAGCGCTTGCGTCACTCGAAACAAGAGACTTCAACACTTGCAAACCTATAATAATTGTGCGCGCGGTCAACTGGATACGAGCGAGCGAGAAAGAGCGAGTTTTCGCAATGCTCGATCCACTCGTGGGAAGACCACGGGATCCGTCGAGCCGAAAGTATATCCCGGGTTCAAACCTGAATCGAGGTACAAAACTAACCCCCTCCCTCATTCTGAACGTTGCCTGTCCGAATGCAAGGCCCGGCTACACCTTAACGATGTTCCAGTTTGCAGAAATAATGCATTTGCCATCAGCTCACGTCCCCTACAGGTCTCAGCGATGAAACAGAGTCCCTATAATGTCTTTCTCGGGTCTCGAACACTTGTTCGGAACCAGCACACAACCGGTCGGAACCGCGGCCGCCCAATCGGGCGACGCCAGCTGATTTTCACAAGAACGACTGAGCCGAGATGCCCCACAATGCTAAGACCGTTGGACGCTTTCTTCTACTGACTGAGACTCGTAGGCAGGCAGGCAGGCAGGCGGACGGGCAGGCGGGCGGGCAGGCAGCTAGCTAGGCTTCTGCGACTGACGATGAGGACGACCATGTCGGTGGTGGCGGCGCGGCGTTGTCCCTATTCCGGCTGCGTTTCATTCTTCGAGTCTTTCTTGAGTTGACCAGACAGAGTGACGCAGATCAAGAGTAGGTAGCTTCTGAGCTCCCTGTATTCAATGAAGTCTTGGTGCATAGGCCGCGAGAGGTCATATGGTGTGGGGGGCAGCTACGCAGTTAGTCAGGCAAGCAGACCCTTTACTCGTTGGACGCTCGAAACAGATGGTGTCGCACGGGGTCGAGAGCGTTTTGGGGCATTTGGCCGTCGTCAGACCTCTGAGATCTGCTCCGAAAACCATACCGAGGTGTCAAACCTGGACTGGTCGGGACGAGATCCGCGCTACAGGGCGTGCGGACGAAAATTCAGGAAGCCGCTCCCGAACGAAGTCTCCCCAGAGAGATCTCCGTCTCGCCCCGGTCCGGTTTCGTATCCAGAATGGATAATGGGCCACTTGAAATTGAGCATGTTGCTCGACGGAATGTTGTTTCAAGGCTGCGCTCTAAGACAGCTCATCGGAGCATTTGGAAGAAGGTTTCCCCCGAAATCTGGGTCACGAGAAACGGCAACCTGTTCTCCGTCTGGCCTACTTTGAAGAGTTAGCAACAGCGCGCACTCTCGTATAGAGGAAAACAAAGGGTGCGCTGAGAAGCGGACAGCCCACACGTGTATAGCACACACACACACACGCGCGCGTATTTGTAACTAGCTTATATTGGTGATAAATTCTGTGAGAAATCCCCTGCTCGACGCTAGTTGAGAATTACAGAAGGGAGACTGTTCAGACACTCTGTTTTGTTCTCGCTTGAAGGGACGATGCTATTCGATATTTATCCTCGTCCGGGTTTAGATACGCTTCGGAGTCACGTAAAAAGAAGTCCGTGAGGGAGGAATCGGTACGCGGAATGGCTTCTGCGGTCACTTATTAGAATCGAGTGCAGCAGTCGACGCACGAGCCAACGATCCAGAAAGCTTCGCTGCACATTGATCTTGTCTTCTGTTTCCGATGTGTTGCGAATTCGAAGCGGCATGCGAGTGCGTGGGAACGAACGGAGCTTGACGGTGTCTTGGTCGGATGGATGACGCACAGATGAACTCTTGCATCGCCAGAAATCCGACACCTCAGGCGGAAGAGTTTAAAAGAAGTCCGTCCCAGGGAAGCTGGCGATCACCTTACAACAACCCGTCCCTTTACGGATACACGACACTATCCACCGAGAAAGCGGCTACTGCACCGCACCGAATGCCCGCAACGCCTCGCGACACGCAACAAGGAGGTACGCGCTCATCTCGAACATGTCCAAGCGCGCGGTCATTTGCGATGTGCATGCATATATGGAGTAGACCTTCGGTGATCATCATCGATCGGTATTTGGCTCGGAGAAGGCAAGGAGGATTCCCGACTTCCGACTTAGAACTTGGTTCCCGCTGTATTCCAAGGAGACTAGATTCCTGGACGGAACTCCGCCTCCCAACCCGTCGGGTTGGCCATCGTCGTCGAAGCCCCGAAAATCATGAGAATCATCGGTTTGTTTTATGAGTTTCTCTATCGATTTGGATCAAGGCAGCTCGAAAGGCATTTTTGGGAGCACGCCTCCAAGAAATCGCAGACAGGTCTTGTGTGCGTGTGTGATGAAATGGTCCCGGCTCTATAGAACTCGGTGGGTGATTTCTCCGTACGCGGCACGGGACCCGCTGAAAAGCCTTTAACTTCGGGGACGGTCGGTCGGTCGGATCCGACGGTCGCTCGGCCGATCGCTCGGATGGACGGCCGACTAGATAGATAGGTGGACGCACCGAAGGAAGAATGGACCTCCAGAAACCACTCCCCCAAACCCTCTACAACCGTCGAGCCCCAGAGTGTAGACGAGATCAACACACAGGGCACCTGTGACGCGACATTCCATTCGGATAGATCTCGGGCTCGCCACATTCGTTGCTGCAACCTGATTGCTCCTTTGTTCCGCTCGAGATTGTTCGTTTCAGACGTGGAGTTTGCACCGAGTTTATCGCGGTCTCATTGCCCCATCTCCGAGAGCCACGAGTCGGTCCCTGGCGCTTTCGTTCGAACCCCTGACTCGGTACATGTTCCCAGCGGGAGAATATTCACAGACGGGTTGGGAAGCTCGTTCAACATCATCATCTTGAATTTTGAAATTATTTCTCAGGGATCCTTCAGCTCGAAGGTAAGCCCCCAGAGAGCGGAGGATCGAGGAGGGACAAGCTCACCTGACATCGTGACCGGTAGTTGCTGTTGTCCTAGAATTCTCTCATCAAATCACCTATCCGGAACGGCACTCCAATGGATTCGCGCAGGAAAATGTCTCATCAGCTGATTCCCTGAAGCGGAGTGATTGCATGTAAACAATCACTGGCACCGCCATCCGATAGCGGCTGCAGGATCCGTCGGCGGAGTCTTCACGAACACACTGGTTCCTGAAGGAAGGAGATTCTCGTTGAGGAATTAATTCATGAAAATCATAAACTTCATCATTTAGGCCGGTCCTCAGGATCTCATGGTCCACGGTTTTCCATTGATCGAGGATCAGGATCCCACGGCGCGAAGTACGAAAATGGGAGAGAGAGACACACGGCATACAGACGGAAGAGAAGCATTCGAAAATCGAGCTCAATCGACACTTGATCCCCACGCCACAACGACTCAGGAATTGATGCGCATCCTGAAGATAGATGTATGCGGAGCTTTCGCTTTCGCTCCTCCTCAGAGCGTGAATTCCTGGGGACAAGTCATTACGCTGTAGATTGGAGCTCAGTCGCTTGAATTTATCTGAGATGAAGAAGTAACAGATCGTCCTCTCATCTATGACTGCTGTGTGTTCTCTCGTCCGCCGGCTCGGTCAACCGTTCTCGAGCGACCTCGAGTCGGACCGGCGGACAAACAGACTGGAGAGCGAATACTCCTCCAAACTCCAGACTGGTCCGGTGTATGACTGGGTAGACAAGAATTCCGGAATGCATTCCGAGCGTCGCCCGCCGTCGCCGAAAACGCTGCCGACGAGCATGACTGAAGATGCGAGAAGAGAAAGGATCAATGAATAACCGCGGTTCCCACAGAGATAGTTTTCCTGAAGAGGGGAAATATTTCTCTCGAGTCGTCGGCGAAGTCATTCAATCTCTCGGGGAGCGTTCGGAATTCTTTACTTCCGGGAACCGGCCTTTCTCCGTATATGAATGAATACCGGGCATTGGAGCCAGAGACTTTTCCATCAATCGATCCTGTTATCGCTCGGAGAAGTCTCCCAAGTCGATGGACCGAGATGGACCATATATCAGACGACGCGCATTGCAGGTCTAGAGGAGGTTTACGGACAGGATCTCAACGGCGGAGTTCCGACCCGGGTGTCTAGATCGAAGAGAGCGTATCGTTCTGAAGTGATTCTCCTGCGAAGCGAGCAGTTTAATTGAATTGAATCCGATCCCGGAGTCCGTGAGAAAAGAATTTTCCCCGCTTGGATTCCCATCTCGCTCTCACTCACCAAGTACCGACCTGTTTGTCGGCCGACAGCAGCAGCAACAGCGATCACCACCCCGCTTCTTGAAACTATAGCCAGCGGCGGCAAATCTGAGCCGAGAGCAAATACGGCCTTCGACGTCGCGGCGCTAGAAACAACTTTCTTCTCTTCTCTCATCCGCGAACGTCATTCTCTCAGCAGCTGAGCGCTCCGGTGGGCGCGAGGATGCAGCCGAACGCACGAAAGCACCCGCCGCCGCCGCCACCGACAAGCGCTCAACTTCCCCCAAATTTTCATTTTCCCGCCAAACAGCGGGCGCGCGCGCGCGCCAAGTTTCGGAGGTATCCCTGGCTCGCTAGAACGGGATCAACGCTTCCCCAGGCGCAGCATGTTCCCTCTGATGTGCGCATCGCTTGTGGCTCTGGTCGAGAGGTGCGCCGGATAGGGGAGCGCGAGCTCGAGAAGAATCGATGAGGCATGCCTTTGGCGATCTTTTGAAGACTCTTCTGCGGTCCTCGGATTCCTGACTATTCCGTTGGTAACGGATGCTCTCGGAGCGCAAACGTTCTCTTCGATAGGAGGGCCCGTCGGCGAGGAATAATCATCGGTCCGGCCATTGGACCGATCTGAGGAGTTCACGTCTTCGCTCGCAGGATATGCGAAAAAGACGTGCGCGAATAAAATAGAGTTTGAGCTCAGAGCCCAACTCACGATGCCGGACGACGCACAAGTACGGAACTCCGAGCGGTTCGGCGAAAGATGAAGAAATAACGAACCGATCGTGATACATCTCGACACATTCCGATGAATGAGCCCTCGCATTTTTCGAGGTCATGCCCAGAGCCCATCGCTTCTCCGATCAGACGGAATGGATGCCAAGCGATGGAGGAAGCCGCAAAAGTTGATGTTATGACAATGCGCGGTGCGCGAGTCAACAAAAAAAACGATCTCTTTTCTTTGACCAAGTTTGAAACATTCTTTCGACTTCGAAACAGCAAGCCGATACATTGTTATTCGTTTCCTCTAGTTGTTTTTCTTGTTAACTCTTTGGAATCGTTTCCACGACCGCTTGGGAAAAGCAGTGCATGTGCATAAGGGCGGTCTTTTCTTTCTTGGAATCCAGCTCCGCCACCGTCGGCGTCGCCGGACCGGTCAATCGGTCTGATCTCAAGGCTTTCCAGCCAGAGTGCAGACAATGCGGGAATAGATAAGTGAGATTCACGGTAACCTCAACCGAATGGTCATCTCGCTCGGATGAAACATCTAGCGTCTGAATTCTTCGGCGGATTTCTCGCCGCTTTCGTTTGCCGAATCCTAGCCGAGCATCCCCTCGAGAGCTTTGCTCGGACCAGAAATCCCCTCATCGGAGTCTTTCGAGATCCCCGGGCATTGCGCCCAAGCCTCCGCACTCAAATAACGATAGCCGAGAGGAAAGAGTGAAGCGATGGTTCTGCTCGTCTGCTCCAATCTTCAACCATGCATTACGACCCTTGATTTTAGGTGTGGCGTCAAGCGACGTGACGGCTCTCAAGCCCTTGTCGTACTATCGAACGTTTTCAGCTTGAAAGCTGTCGTCGATGAGCACTTTTACGCGATCACTGCGCCTGACTCCGTGGGAGCAATTGAAAAGCGAACTCTCCGCTCGTTGAAGATTTGATCACGGAAAAAAAACTCTAAATTCGAGGACTGCTCCTTCCTACGACCCCCCTTCCCCCTCCAGTGGACCTCATGGCCGGGCTAATGATTATCAAACCTCCTGGAGTCATTGCGTAAAGCATTTAATGTGTGATACTAGAATACTCAATTTTCCTCTCTAATAAATGGAATCTCATTTATTGAAACATTTTTTTCAATACTCAGCGAGAGAGATCATGGGGCTCAATATATTGATTGCAATTCTCTGAGATGCCCCTTCCCCTGTTCGACTTCGAAAAAGTTCCATTATTCCCCGTCATTGCTCAGCACCGTTTTTCCTTTCTGAGCTTCCGAAAATTCCTTCTCGAGAACCGGTCGGAGTGATTTCAGGTACCTTGCAAGGGTCATCGCGCAATTATTCGCATCGACCTTCTCTGATACCGAGGTATCTCGATTTCTGATCTCTAAATATCCATGCTCGATAGTGGACATGGTGAACATAACATTGTAACACACTCCCATCTCGTCACAATCAGCGAAATATTCCTCCTTGTCACTTTCTCCAAGTTCTCTATAGTATGGCAAGACACTGATACCGAATTTCTTCAAAATCTGAATCAAGTTTTCCGCGTTTGTTCTCATGACTCGCGTTAGGCTTCCCACAGAAACCTGGAACGGAGCCAGCTCGTAATGAAGATGGAGTGACTGTCTGCCATGTTCTCGTTGTACTGACGAGTCTTCCAACAGACATCTCACGCCTTCGTCGAGGTTCACAGTACACGTGATCAAGTTCCCATCGTTTCTTAGATCTACTGTCTCTAGTTCAGAATTTTCCTTGTACACGATTCTACAGAAATTCTCGTGGGTTTGAGCTTGGAACATCGTACAGTCGTACGAATGCCGTTTCCACCATGAACGCCTGTCTCGGATCCAATGATCGAACCATTGGATGCGAGTGCCATTCGTCTTCCCATCCATCACAAAATGGTGTTCGAGACGATCTCGTTCAACAACTGCGACACCGAGCGGCGCCGGCCTGTTCGGAGGAGGCTTCTGCTCGAGGAGCAAAGTCTTCAGAGTGTCCCGATCGCCGAGAACCGAGTTGGACTGCGGGGCGAATAGGAACGAGTTCAGCCATTGCGTCTGAAAGTTGTGGCGGAGTCGGAGCGGCAACGATGCCCTCAGAGTGCTCTGCGTCATCTCCTGCAATGAATTACGATCCGTCCATGAGCCAAATCCCTCATTACTTGACAATCGGCGAAACCACAACGAAGGAAATCGATGCCACGAGTTGACAGATATCGGCGCAGTTATCCTGTCGCTCGATGTATGCACGGCGCACTGACCCTCTGACGCAGCATTTTCCCAGATGGAGAAAACTACGGACGACTAGACAGACTACCACGGAAAACGGCAGCAGTCCAGAAGGGCTTCGGAGCCATCATCGGAGACGAGTGAAATTCGCGAGCAATATATCTCGGTGGGGTCTTTCCGTCGTCGAGATAGACGGGTCAAGAAACGACAGGCAGAGCCGAATTCAGCTCCAAAACACTGCCGACTGGATCGGGCAGTACTTCATTTACGTTCACTGACTCGGCAACTGTCGGTCGGTCGGTCGCTCGGCCGTTCGTTCGCCGGCTGGCCGCCTGGCTCGGGTCGGCTAGCCCGAACTGGAAAGGAGAGGTCCCCTGTATGGACCGCGGCTTGCCACGAGCAGCGTCCCCTGCTATAAAAAAGGCTTTTGCCATTCCAAAGCTTGCCATTCCGTGTGCGTAGTTCAGGACTACATGTTGTCCAGTGTTGTGCTCGCAGTCGGCGTCGACGTTTCCCGCTCGGATACGCCTGTGGCCTGTTGCCTGCCGGAGAATGGCAAGCGCTCTGGAGTTTGGCTGATCGATCGCCTGTCAGGCGGTGACGATCAGCTGGAGGAGAGCAGTGAATTTCTATCATCTCGATGCAAAAGCTAAACCTACCGAGGAAGAATGGGAAAGCCGAGCATAGTGAAGTGTTACTCCAAAGGAACCGCTGATTTATCAGATACCGACCGACGTAGGAGAAGCAGGATACCAAGCCAGTCCATTGGACGACGGCCTCACAATCTAGCCTGGTTACATAATATTTGCCAAAGAACTCTTGACTACGTTGTTGACGGCGCCAGATAGCCAGCAGTCCCGTTCCATCTGTTCTTGCTGCTGCCACATACCTAAGTTGAGGACCGAATGACTGTGCACAGCAAGACACCACGACCAGCACCACTACCGTTGGCGACAACGACAACGCCGACTACGGCAAGGTCAGTTCCGATAGAATTATCGTTTTTCATGAGCAGTTCAGTCCGGACACGAAGCCGATGACGCCCGGAATGAGCCCACGAGGAGCTCCTCCGATCCACCGACGACGGTCTACGAGACGGTCCCGTCTCCATCGATTTCAACACCTCGACCCACTACCCAAGCGGCGCCCATGCCGATCGGGTTAATTCGTGGATTGTCGTCGTCGTACCGCTTAAGACGTAAACAGTTATTGGCCCATGCATCGTTATCGGGCCACAGAAGATTTTCGGGGCGACAGATGGCCACCCGGTGCTAGACTTCTGTTATTTTACGTTCTGACGGAAGGCTGACCGACTAGGTCCGGACTTCATTTTCGATGAACCCCTCCCGTCCGATTTTGACCGTGTGGTGCTACAACGCCGGGCTACCGTTGCAGATCCTCGATCCGGAGCCGTCATCGGACGGCGTCATGGTGCGCATGATGTGTACCATTCGAGTGGGAGCGCAGCGTTAATAGTCATCGGCGGGAGACAGTGCCAATAGATCGACGAACCTGTGGCCGCTCGGACGGATAAGTCTTCTCGGACCCGATGCATTCAGAAGTTATTCATGTTCAGCATTCGTCGGTGGATGTCCTCTGGGAATAATGGAAATGTTCTGTAGCCAAAGCCGAATGAAAGAGTCGGGAGAGAGGAGGTTGACTTCTCTTTCCATGAGAGGTCGCTCCGTTCTTTCAGCTCTTTTCGCGCTGAACCGCGGCGAGTGCTCAGTTCCTTTTTTTGGGATCTAGCAACATGTCCCTATAGCCCCACGGACTCGAGAAACAAGAGAAGAACAGGTCGCCAATCACCACTCGACTGAGTTCGCTGGTCGTGCCTGTCATCAGCTCTCCCGTCTCTCAGTTCCTGTTCGTTGTGTGTGGTTCGTTCCGTTTCAAATCCCGACCGATCACCGTCAGAAGATCAATCGTTAACCCCTCGAGCGAGCTCGCCGACTCCGCTCGAGACCCGCAGCCGCTATAACGCTCTCGGAAACCTCAAGTGTTGAACTCTCTGTTAGTGCTAACCATGGATCTACTGTGCATGGAGAAACCCGACGCCGCCGATGGACAGTACCTCCAAGTCATGGACCGACTGTCGTTCAAGGATCCGGCGATATTTCAATCAAACGAATCCAAAGTTCTCGATCGCTTGTTGGAGCTAGAAAAGCATCAACAACGGGGTGCCGTGGATCCCGAGCTGTTCGGTAAAGTCCAACACGAGATCCAGCCGAACATGCGCCGTATCGTCTCCAACTGGATGCTCGAGGTAAGACGAGAGTCATGATGACCCAATTGGGTTCGTGTGAGAATTTTCCTACGCGAGCTCGATACCCAGAACGCACATGCCAAATAAATGTAATCGATCTGACAATGATGATTCCAATGCACTCGATTATTATGGGTCGGTATTCGTGAGACGGAGAATATTCCCAGAACTTACCCAGCTCACTTCTGCGACCCGGAGGAGCGCGCAAACCAATAGCCTAGATATGGGGCTCGGAACTAAGCCTATTTCAGGCCCGCGCGTTCCGCTCGATCTCGGTCAGAGGGAGCAGCGAGTTGGGGCTGTGGGCCAGGACACCGCTCCGAAAGTTGGGGCTGGTTGGTAGCCTGTTCGACTGGTTGCTTGCTCCGTCGATTCGTCGTACCACCTGCCGCTGCCATGGCACTACCCCAAGCGGTGTGATTACATCACTACCGGCTGGTTGGTTGGCTGGCTGGCTGCGTGCCTGGCTGCCTCCTATCCGCCTGGATAGCTGGCGAAAGTTCTCTTTCGGGGGTCGCTCGTCGATCCGGCTCCTCTACATGGTGCGCCGGTCCCTCTGCGATAGCTGCTCGGGGGGTGGGGGATTTTGAAATCGCACAGCAGTATCTCGCTCCATTGATGTTGATGTTAATGGTCCGGAGATGGACACCAGCCTCCCTTCAACATACTGATCATCATGCCGAACAGCAGCGGCATGACTCCCATTCTCGTGGCCGTAGATGGACTCATCGAAAAGTAACTGAATGAACGGAACCAAGAAGAGAGGTCCGACGCCGACTCGCATTAAACAAATGGACAAGGCCCCCTCGTTTGGACTTTTGCATTGATGGGCATCATCATCGGCGAGCAAGTGAGCAGCTTGCCAGCTAGCCTGGCCGACTGTCTGTCTGTTGGTAAGGAGCGAAGGACTTAGGGGAGGCACGGATCTCTGCTAGCCTTCGTCCGGATTCCGTTCCGCGAAGTGATAACAATCAGGGAAACAATGTCGCTAGAGCAAGCAATTATTCTCTACGCCCAACTTCAACCATTGAGGCGATTTACGACGTGATTCGTCGACGTGTTCGTCGGCGTCGTCGAGGGCGACAAATCAGCAACGACATCATTCGATACATGTAGGACAGCGACGACCGAGCCGTCGACCTGCAGCGCGAGACGTCCTAGAAACTTTCGGTCTTTTCTTGATTTCCAAGGGCGTCGTGTTCGCTCGATTCGACCGTCGTCGCTCTCCCGATATTCGTGCGGCGAACTCTCCGGTTTCGGACAAGTCAGCAAAGTCTCGTGAGGGTCTCGAGTTTCCACCCACACAACTAACGAAAACTTGGCGTCGTAACAAGCGGAAACTACGTGTAGCAGAGGAAAACCTCCCGACCGCCGCCGCCGCCGCCGCCGCTCTACCACTCGAATCCGCCAGCCCCATTCACGGTCAAAGCCATCGATTCGCTCAGCATTCGACTCGGTTTGCTTCTCCGTCCTCCTCGAAAGAAGCGAATTCCAGCCGTCGTCGCCAAGGATTCGCGCCGCCATAACCTTCGATTCGACGCCTAAAACGAGTTGCCGCAGGTTGTACACGACGGGAAGGGTACCTTGAGGAGATCGCGTCAGGCAAGCCCCGCGTGTTATCTTTCGTTCTTGGCTCTCTTGGTTTTTCTACTTTTCTTTCAATCGTACTTGAGATTGAATTTCCGTCTTTGACTCGTTTCGTTGTTGAGAAAACAATGGCTCTTATGCGTTTCGAGATATATGTGCAGACGAATCGAGAGAGACTGAGGCGAACAAGACCACGATTGCTCGTTGGGCGAATGAACCCACGGATGGAGACGAAGAAAAAAAACGCCGGATTATGAGTAGAAGAGCAAGTCGGAGGCAAGGTCTTTCGGATCGACTCGGGGGGAAGGACAACGGACCGGTCGCTCGGCTTGCCCGCCGGCCAACCGAGTTCGTCCGAAGAGTTTTCAGTCGGAAGACGCAATTCCACCGCAGATCGATGAACTGGCCGACTGCAGGCAAGGAAGCCGAAGGCAATTGCATAATGCGCTGGAATGTCTGGCGCAGCACTTGCTGCTGACGTGGATGTGGTCCCCATCACCCCAGAGGCGGGCGTCGGGCGGGTTGGCTTGGCTGGCCGGCTTTGCGTAGAACGCGTCCGATTGGCCGCGCAGCTTCCCGCCAAAAACGTTCGCCGCTTCGCGCGCGTTTCGACGCGCGCCCTTCAAGGACCTGTTCTGTCCCACGCATAATGAGTCGTCGACGACGACGACGCAATAACAGCACACTTAGACCGCCGAAAGCGTCGAAACGTTCCGGGCCTTATTTTCATCGTTCGGCTTTCGGCACTAAATTTCGATTTGGGGCTGTTGGAAGCATCCGAAGGTGAATTCTCTTCGATCGCCGGCGCGTGTTCCACGGCCGCGATCTTCGGCGAGCTTCAGGTTGCGGACGATGTCGAAGGATCCAACAATTGAAACAAACCGAGCGCAGGGCATAGCTATGATGGTGATGATAATCATGACGACCATTACTAGCATCATGACGACACCGATAATATCAGTGGCAGCAGCCACACTAGCAACAGCCGCAGCAAATAACACTCGAAGATACTACGAGGAAGAAGAGCACACTTAAAACAACGAGAGCCCGGAATACCAACGTTTACAAGAATCCACAGTCGACCTCACAATTACGGCCGTTTTACGTTGGATACGTGAATGGGGACATTTAATTTTTAAATCTCCACCGTCCGCCAGCGTAGTGGATTCCTGCCGTTGCCGACAGTTTAAATGTCCCTACGGTATTCGCTTTCGGTCGTTCCGCGGCCGGCGTCGACGATCCAAATTGAAAAGTCACCTTCGGAAAACGCGTTTTCCGGAAACGAAAATTAGCTGGCCACTTCGAGCGTCCGGGGAAACGCCTAACCTCAGAAAATCAAAAGTAATTTCCCACGGGAAGCCTCTCGGAATCGCTATTGAAATTTATCATCCGATCCCCTTGACTGAAGCGCTTGTCGAACCGCCTGTTTCGAGGGAGGCTCCACCGTGGCTTTGTGTCGGGTTTCGCTTGTCTCCGGATTGTTTCCCGGCGCGAGAAAGTCGTCTCGTTCGAGCAAATCAAAGTGTAGAGATCGGCTACGACAATGGAGAGATCGAATGTTTTCACGTGGTAACTTCATTTCACAGGTATCCGACACCGAGCTCTGCCGTCCCGAGGTCTTCCCTCACGCCACGTCTCTTATGGATCGCTTCCTCAGTAAGATTAGCGTCCACAAGAACCACTTGCAGCTGTTGGGTACCGTTTGTCTGTTGCTGGCATCCAAGATGCGCCTAACGCGTCCGCTGACGGTCGAGAAGTTGAGAATGTACACCGATTACAGCGTCAGTCGGAAGGAGATTCTGGTGAGTGAAATCGCTGATATTTCACCTCGGGGACATCATTCATTTCCAAGCCAGCGTTCCCATCGGAACCCTAGTCGCTACGAACAGATTGAGACAGAAACATTCCACCGAAGACACGCCTCAGACACGAAACCCGAAACGGTTCCCTTAACGGCAACAATGACGTCGACGACGACGGATCTCCGTCACACGTTCTCGAAAATCCACAACTACTCCCCGGATGGAATTTTCTATTCATCTTCCTTCTCATTTATCTATCTGCTTTCGAGGCCAGAGAAACAAAAAAAAACCTCTTGTTCATGACGATCGAGAATCGTAGTGCTTGGATCCACGGGCTTACCACTCGAGACAATCGATACAAACACGCAGACGCGCACGGAGAGTCCTGCGGACTCCAGCGCCCACTCGAACTTTGAGGTACTCGAACAATATATTGATCACCCGAATGACGAACAAACAAAACGACGACCGAAACATCGAGAGCGCGAAAGCCGCGGAATCGATCTAGCGAAAGCGAGCCACCCGTACCCGGGAGCACCCTGCGAGTTCATGAGAGTCATCGTGAGCGGGGTGGACGGGGGCAAACGAGCAGAAAGAAAAAAAATCGATTCTAGTCCATAGTCGAGCCACGTGGTAGATACACCGGATCTGACCGGTCGGCCGGTCGTCCAGCCGGTCCATGGGCATCGTACGCGTCGGAATTCCAAAATCCGCTCAACCTGTTCTAGACTTTCGCGCATTCTCGAATTTTTGCCGAGGGGCCCTTAAAACACTGAGTAGCACCAGCGGCCGCCTATGGGAGCCTGTCGAAGCCGCCGGGACAGATCTAAAACAATAAAAAAAAATCACAAATATGCAATGCTCTTCGGTCTCATGCATCAAGTTGATAAAAATGCAAATTCTGCAAATCATCATGAGCACCAACAGCGGCAGGAGCGAAGGGTCGTTTGTTGCGCGCCTAGCTGCTGCTGCTTTCGTTCGTCGGTGGGTCGGGCGGGCGGGCAGTCGGTCGGTTGGTCGGGTGGTCGACTGCTTGGTCTGTGTTTTCCGCGCGCGCGTTTTCACATTTGCCTCGACCGCAGTCGTTGTCTATAGCTCCATTCGTTTTGAATTTCTTATCGACTCCCTCCTTGCCTGCCTGCCTCCTGCTCGAGCGGCAACTACCACCCAGATTCTCGGTTCGTCTCTCCTCGAAGCTCGTTCGTTCATTCTCCGCTTTGTGCGGAGTTGAAACAATCCGAGTTCGTTCCCGGTCCACGAGGATTTCGAGCGAGCGGGCGAACGACCGCTGCTGCAAAATTCCGATTGTCGAGAATCGAGTCAACGAGTGAGCGCGCGAACTAGCGAGCGAGCGAGCCGTCAGGCATGTCGTGGGTTCGTCGTGCGGTGATGCGCATGCATGTATGCATTTGAACCGTGAAGCTCTTCGGGGTCTCCACGGCTCCTGGACGACTCAGCGGAGAGAAAAAATACGCGACATTTGGCTTCTGGATGAGAACGAGATGAATCAGGGGGTCTCGCGCTCGTCCCGCGATACCATACGCTCTGCTTTGCTCTTAATGTCGCTGTAGCCGACTCGACCGACCGCCCGACCGACCGACCGACCTGGCCAGCAAACGACATCAGGTCTAGATGTGTGCATCCGGCGTAACGGGACAGGTGCACGCTAACCTTCTAGTGCCTGCATCATCATCATCACCACCGTCGTTGTCGTCGCCGAGGGCCACGAAACACTGCCCGGATGGGCAGTGTTTGCGTACAACTAGCGGGACGACAGCGACGGGGCTGAGTTTCAATGGACAGCCGAAAGACTCAGCGGTAGGAGGGGAGCTCAAGGTGACCGAGAAGGACAGAGCCGAGAAGTTCCAATCCAACACTCGGGAAACTTCGAAAGTCATTGTTCTCGACAATTACCGATTTTGAGCATCCCCTTTGCTCGAATCCTTTGTGGATTGACGACGACCGACGGACGGGCGGACGGATCGATCTGTGCCCCGGCCTGCATGGTGTCATCGTCATCCATGAAAACCACCTGTCCGCAACGTTTCCAGTACGTCGACAAATAGGGAATCTACGAACGCGGAGAGTTTCTCTATTGAGTTCTCTCTTCCCTTCCTTAGTCAAAGGCCAAATGGTTCTATTCATGCAGAACTGGCGCCTGAATTCTCTGTAGCACAGGAACCTGGCGAGCGGGCATTCGCCGAACCGCCAACGCCGAGATCGAAAATACTTTTTAACGAACTCTGAATCGTGCCCCCGACGCGCTTGAACAAACCAAACATACTGATACGCGGTAGAAAAGAAAAACGACATAGAAATTCCGGAGACAGGCGATTTCGTAGCCGTAGAATCCGTTTGCGGCCGACACGACGCCGACAACCTCCGCGACGTCGATTAGGATGGTTCATAGAGCGAGCGAGATCCTGAGGGAAAAATGGAATTCCCCGCTTTGAAGAGCTCCAGACCCGGTATTCCAGCCCCAGCAGATATCAAAGTCTTCGGAGGCCAGCAGCCGTCACCAACCATATGAGTATCGTCGTCGTCGCCGTCGTCGTCAATTTCGGTATCCAGATGATCAGGTGGATCCTCTCTCCGTTCTCTACTCGCTGTTTGTGACTATGCATATGTCTTCGATCGAATATAGATCACGAATTTAGCGAGGAAGACGAGCGGCAAGTCTAATTTGACGTAAAACGTCCGCTTTTCCGCATGTGTTCGACGGAGCACGTTACTCGCCTCAGCAGCGTTCCACGATTGTGAGCCTGATGCCGCATTGGCTAGCTGAGACTTGTCATATCGGTTGGAGACCGGAGTTTTCCTTTTTCTTTTTCTCATTTGGGTCTCTTTCTGCTCTCGCTGACTGTTTTTCCGAAAATGTTCTTACCTAATGTTCGGTCTCGCATAATTTGAGCCGCTTCGGTCGCAAGTAAGGCCCGCCTCTTCAAGGACCCTGGCCTTCCACTGGCAAGATGGAACAGCAGCAATACATGCGGCCGAGCACGCTCGCTTGCTACGTTGCTAGATCGCACAAATAAACAGCGCGAATCACAGAAACTCTCGGAATCCGATTGCAGTGACTCTCCTTGTAGAACAACAACAACCGCAAGCTCAGCAACAGCAGCGGCAACGTTAGCAACAATTACAGGAATGATGAGAGAAAAGGAATAAGAGAGCTTTCCGAAACGATGTGGTATTTCGTTCTAATCTATGCAAGAAAGCCCTTTAATAATTCCAATCCTTTCGCTTTCAGGAATGGGAAATGCTGGTTCTATCGAAGCTAGATTGGCAGACATCGCTCGTCACGGCGAACGACATGCTCGACCACCTCATTCACCAACTCCCATTGGACAGCCAACACCAACGGCAGAAGGAGACTTTACGGAAACAGGCCCAGACAGTCATCGCGCTAGCAGCCACCGGTAAGCATCGAGGTTTTATTTTATTCCTTTCTTCACAAAACCTAGGAGTAACCCGCGAAATTCTCGCCGGGGTCTCAGATAGTATTTTTTTTCTTAATTATATCCAATCAGCAATCCGGTATCGCGCGCTGCTCAGATCGTCATCGGGGTAGTTCAAGAGACGGACGATTAGACGGGAGCTAGCGGCACACACCGAGTGAAACTGTCGAGAGTTTTTCTGGCTTGGCGGTACTTTCGGCCGTGCGTATGTACAGCTGCCGACGACATGCCTGAAGTGGGTATCACGTCGTCGTCGTCGCCGTCTCTTTCGCCGGATCGGCAGGCGATGCCTGTGACGGCCGGCTGCCGGAGCGGTGGCGGGCGGCAATAGCGGGAGCGAAGGGAAGAGCGAGCGCTCTTTTGGGGAAACTGGTTTCTTCTGAATCAGCTTCCGTCTCGACCACTTCGTTCGATCGCGTAGTAAGCGCGCCTGCTCCGCTCATTCATTCATTCATACATCGAACGGCTGAGAACACCGAGCCGAAAAGGAAAGCGAAACGCCTTTTCAACGCTAACCCTCGGAGCAATGATTGCTCATTCAGGAGCGAACGCGTCGAATAATAAGAGATCTGATCGGCGGTGGATTACACGAATGTCCTAAAGTTGATCACGATACCGATTATGATAACACGATAAATGATCGAAGTGATTCGACTCGATGGATAGATCGATGTGAATCTTTCTCGAGCCCCCCAGGGGCAACTCGCACCTCGTCCATTGACGACATGGCTCCGCATCTCGCGCTGGAGATTAATTTAAATGTCGCAGACGAAGCTCAGTCGGGTGATAGGAAAGCACGATCTAATTAAGATATCGGTGTCAGTGAGATAGCATCGACTTTAAATGTATTTGAGGCGGTGATGTTGTCTGAACTCGGGTACAAGGTGTGGTACTTGGGTGGTGAGCACCGATCGCAGTAGAACAGTAGCTTGAAGTGGAGCGATTGGGAGGAGCCAGTGAAGACGTCAGTGAGGATCTCGGCAGTCACGTCAGAAGCGTCAATTCTCGTTCTGTTTTCTCTTCTTTTCCTCAATGAGCGTCCGTCTTATCTTAACTGAAAAAAATCGTTGCCACCGCCGCAATTGACTAGCGTTGGAGCGATTGAACGGAAACCGGCCGGCCGGACGGCAGACTGTTTAGTTAGTCATGAATGACCGCCGATGACTAGCTTGAAGCTTGCGGTAGCGCCCGTTACGTCAAATGCATTCGGTGCCGATGATAATGATAAGATGCTCACGAACCGCCATAATCGCTCGTCCGAGTGTACTTCTCCGAAGATCTGAACGCCGTTTGAGCAATGCAGACAGTTTGACCGGGTTCCGGTCGATTCCAACGGTTTCTTCGACTTGGTATGTTTTTTCTTTCGTGAGCTCCGAGACAGTTAAGATTTTTTCCTTCCATTGAGGGCGCCCGACGACGCACTCGCTTACTCGTGAATGCCAGCTGCCTGCCCTCGGAGTAGTGGACGATTTCCTCGTATGCGTTCGTTCGTTCATTGATTTCATTCACTCTCAGCGAGTGAGCGAGCAAGCTAAGCAGTCAGTCGCTGTACGTCGACAAGAAGAATGGTTTCATTGAGTGAAAGAAGTTTCGAGACCTTCTGGTCGCAGACTAAGATGCCCCAACATTCCTTGGCTTTGTACAAAGGTCGCCGTTAGGGATTCAAAGTCGGTCGCTCCTAGAAAGTCTACCCTAGCCGAGTTCGGCCAGAGCGAACTGTTGCAGCAAGCTGTTGGTGGGCTCGCAAGTCGGCGTTTTTTCGCGAACCTAAAAACTAGGTCCCGTTTCCGCTATTTTGTCCGCTGTCTCAAGATCAAATCCGAGTCGTCCTGAGACGCCACTCGTAGACATGCGAAGAAAGAAGGCGAACGGGAGGAGAAGCAGACCATCTTGCATACCTCGCATAGCTCGTCCGAGTCCCATGTGCAACCTGCCGTAGGTCTCACAGGATAGGCTCCGAGCTCTTTCAGGTCGCTCAGCGCGAAGAAAGCACATCCGCATTCCGCGTCGAGAGACACTGTTCGAAGTGCTTCACTTTTCTTGAGAACGGAAACGGAGATTTAAACGAGAAATTCCTCTTTTTTTTGCAGAGTTCGACTTCAGCCAGTTTTCGCCGTCGGTGACCGCAGCAGCGTCGATGATCGTTGCGTCGGCTTACGTCCTGCGGATTTCTAGACGACAGAAGTCAGATCTGATGCGATGGGTCCACCAGGCCGTCAGAGCAGATGAGGTGAGTCTCGTGCCTAAGCGTAGCCCGATCCCGATATTTCATTGATTTTCGCGAGCCATTCGGGACGATCGGCGCCTTATTGTTAACGAGCCTTTAGCTCGTAGACCTGCCGCCCGGGATTCTTAATCCGAAAAGCATGCGAAACTCAAATAAGAAGAGGTACAGTCACCTCACAGAGCGCATGATCGTCAGTATCGGTCCGGAAAACAGACCGACAGACGGGCGCATGGACGGACGAACAAACACACACGTTCACGGGCGCATAGACAGCCAGTCGACGCACCGATCGAGCGAGCAGCGAAGGGTTTTACCTCCAGCTGATACGTACGCCCGCGAAAGCGATGTTCTTCGCTCGCCAGCTCGTTCCGATGTTGCGTGAGAATTATCACTGTTAAGCCGCCACCGTCGGAGCGGACTGTCGTTGATACAGGCAGGTATGCGGCCGACAGTTCAAAGTTGGGCTGCACCGTCGAAGCCGCCCGACTTGCTAAAGCGGCTTCTTTGCGATACATTTTGTTCCTTCTGGTTGTTTCTCCGCCGCGCGTCCAACTCCATGAGTTGTAGGTATCCACTAGCCGAGCAGATATCGAAAATGATAGCCCACAGAATGGGTCGACGCACCGGACCGCTGGTCCATCGAATCTGCTCCCGGCGACCGACGGAGTGAACGGGCGGTCCCGCTATAAGTGCCTCGTATTTCCACAAATATCAAGTATGCAGTAGTGGCGGCGAGGCAATAATGAAAATTAATAATAGTGGACTCAATCAAGCGTACAACCGAGCGAGCCGGTGAGAATAAACGAGCGAACGGGTTCAATTTTCAAGGCGTGCCGCTTTAGACGGCGTTTAAGCCGATAAATCTTTCGCCTGTGTAGCAGCGACAGAGCTCGCTGGTGCAAGCGGATTTCGAGTTTCTAAGCCGCGCTACTCAGATACAAGTGACGAGGACATCCGCAAAGCGACCAAAAGGCAACCTTTATCAGTACTATTGGTAGACAGGCGGCGCCGTCGCCGTCACCGTTACATACGTCCACCTGAACAATTGCCACGTTTCGGACACTATTAAGTTCCAAACGATGATCAAATCATTTGAAGGCGAAGATCGGATCGAACAAGAGAACACGGGAAGCTGTCAAAGCTAGCTGAGCTGTTTTTGAAACGACCACCTCGGCACGCCCATAGTAATAGGGAATCCTTCTCAATTTCAGGTCGAACTGAAAACCTGCACCGAGAGCATCGATGAGTTCATCACGAAAAACTTCGCTCCGCAAGTTCCCCAAGAACCCTGCGGACCCACCGGAAGCCAAGAGTCGCAGCACCATAAAGTCAAAGAGGATATCCCAGTGGGAAGTCAAGGTCAGCCCGAAACGCCAACAGACGTGCAGGACGTGCTCGGTAACTTTTGAAGGGACGCGTGATCGTAGAAAGAAATCGCCTGTTCCGAGAGAAAAAAGAACTCACGAGGAAAACGCGGCGCCAAAGAACTCAACCAAGTCTGCAGTCTGTCGACGGTCAGATATCGCGTTCAAGTTTGAAGAATGAGAGCAGGAAAGACATGCCCTTCACCATCTTCCATTCGAACCTCTTTACGTTGGGAGCCACATGTACATATACACCCCAGAAACGAACGACTGGAATCAGGACAAGCTCAATCAATTGTGAGCAGTGCCATGCGTCTGTTCGTACTAAGCGTTGCCATGTCGTAATCGTAGCGTTGATCGGCTGCGTTGCTGTTCTACGGAAATGCCTTTATGTGCTCCTTTTTCCGCCGTCGAGGTCACATGGAACGCGTTCTCAAGACATCGGAGAGTCTGCTGGCCGAGAAATTTTCTTGCGAGAATGAGCATCACCACCGCTCGAACTCCATCTCGTTTGCTCTGCTGTCAAAGACTTCTCGACATCTGTATTTTTAACTAGTCAATACAATAAACACAGCAACAGCAAGTGGAGCGCTTCCACTGGGTGAAGACAAATGATTTCTCCCAGCGCCCGAGCGGCGGATGGCGATCGCCATCGTCCGCCCGACGCGGCGGTCAGCTTGAATCAGTCTCATTTCAGTGAGAATTTCGGAGCTCCTTTCTGTAAATACTTATCACAACGATGGGCATTCAGTTTCCGCTAGGATAGAGAAGAATTTAAATGTCAGCCACGTCGGTATTTAAACGCGTGACACGTACCCTCCAAAGAGATTTGCTCATCTCGTATAATGCATGATCATGTGTGATGGTAAACCAGTATTAATTCAGCCGATCCAGGGAAACAGTCGATAGGAAACAAGCTCCGCCCCGCGGACGAGATAGTTGAACGAATTCCCGAGCGGTTCACGTGAAGGAGCAAGCGTTCCGAATACCCTGTGGCATGATGGAGATTGGTCTGGACGTATAATTGCGTCTGGAGAGCATTGTAGAGGACGCGGGGAGGAGCGAGACGGCATTTTGTAGAGCGAGGTTCACTTTCTTGCGCGAACCAACTATAACACACAACTTTGCGAAGATATCGAAATCTGTTATTTCACGTACCCTTACAATTATATTTATGTACAAGAGACCCGTATTGCGGGCGAAAATGAAGAAAAAACCCACAGAAAATGTGAAAAAAAATCTTAAGCGAAAAACCTGATGCAAAAAAACATCGACGAAGAGATCGCTAGACGGAGAGAGTCTGGCGAGAGGAGGAGCATGCATAACGTGTATAAGAGTAACGAAAGTTCAAATTCGTACTTTCATTTGTGATAAAAGGGGAAACCTGAATGGAAGAAAAACAAACATAAAACTCCTCGGCTCCTGTTATAAGTATTATTTTATCACGCGTATTAAAGTTTTGATTGCGAAGCTCGCCGCAGAGGCATGATCGAGATACTGCGCAAAAAAAAAGAATTGCGACGATGAAGAATGAAAATGTTATGGATTGAAAGAGTTACAGAACGTCGAACCGAGATCATTGTGTGTATGTAAAGATGACTTTGTAAATATACCCGACTCAAACCGAACTGATTGTAATGATTCAGAAGCGGCGAGAAGAAAACTGCCAAAATAAATCGTGTTATGAAAAACTGAGTCTCCCGACTTATCCGTGAAGCCTCCGCGGTAGCAAGAAATAGCGGAATTTCCAGCAAGCCCCGGCGTTCCCTCGCTCGTACTCGTCCGCGAGGCGAATCAGACACGACAGGACAACGCATAAGCTTGCCGTAGCGCGACGCAATGCTCGAGCTCGATAGAGACATCGTTTTCGTTGCCGCAGTCAAACGTATCTGTAGAGGCTCTCGGTCGTCGGAGCACGCGTCGCCCCATTATCCCTAGGAAGAATCTATCACGGGCTCGTGACACATCCTGTTGTGGTAGAGTTGATCAATACGCGAAGACCGATACGGGGCGGAGAATCGCTCGCGAGAAAATGCTATCCGACAATCTCGTCCCAAATCACAATAGACACGCTGCCGCGAGAAAAGCCGTTCGTCGTCGGAACGCGACAGTATATCGGCACGCAAGTGAATTTCTGAACGCTGCCTTCCGACGTCCGCTCGTCCAACGAGACGAGCGGTCTTTGTCCGGTCTGCTTGACATTCTGCCGTTGTTCGCAACGCAAAACGCTTCAGAAATGCCGACCACCCGAAAGGGTTCAAGCAAGCGTGCACTTTCTTCTTTGCTTGTCGATTTTTTCTCCTGTTTCTAATTTATTGATGACTTCACGCACAGCAACCGAATCATCTCCGGTGGAAGACGAAAGCAACGACGACGTCGCAGCGAGCGGACTGAAAGAGCGAGTCAAAAGTACCGCGGTCTGCGGGAATGCGCATAATTTTTTCAGCGACTGCATTTTACGCCGACCCATGCTCGGAGCGATACCCGTCATTCATTCTGGAAATTTTCGCGGCCCGGCCGGCGTGGTCAGCTCATCGCCGCTGCCACACCGCGCCGATCGGAAAATGCAATCTGCGGAAAAATTTGCTTTAAAACGCAGTAAATTATCAAATTGACCAGTTTTGTTCCACAAGAGCCTCTCTGATGCCAATGCTGCCATCGATTGACCACTTTTCCTGTCATGCTATGCAGCGCGAAGTCGCGGCAAGGCAAGGCATTGCGAGGAGAGCCCTTCCGCTTTCGATCGAAGTCGGCGACGAGCAGCCGACGCGCTTTCGTTCATTATTATCTGTAGTATTATTATAATCATTATTATTATTTTCTCGTCGAGTCAATCGAGTCAATGTTTGGCAGAAGTTCAAGCTCTCCGCCATGTATTTGGCTGGTGAAGTAATTTATTCGCAGACAACGTAAACTACTCGGAGCCGCTCCGAGCGCATGCTTTCTGTTCCGAGTCCCTGCCCCCAGATAAGGAATCTTGTATTCACACAGAACCAGATGGAATCGGCGGAAAAAGAGGCAACTTTACCGGAAAGCGATGAATAATAATTCGATAAGCGACTCGTCTCGACAAGGAACGCAACGTCAGGGATGCGAAGCTGCGACGTTTCTCAATCTCTCCCGGTTGAACTCCGGAGTCGAAACACCGTATGCAGTTCCAGGTCAGTAGTGCATGAGCGTCTTGGTAATCGCGTCGGGGAATACATCACTGCAGTCGTCCGTCTATCTATCAGTGTGCGTTCCAGTCTATCTCAGCGATCCTGTCAGTAAAATGGACAGGAACGCCGGAATATACATCGAATTTATATGTATTGACGATAAACAAACTAGCGGCGGCGCGAAGGAGCACACGGGACGAGTTCATCGCGGGGAGCGCTGACCCGTCAGTCAGTGAGGCGATCGTTTCAGTGATTTGGCAAGCGATCCAAGGAGATGGATCTAAACGACGGGAATTTTCTCGTGTTTTCTCCGTTTTTGCTCCCCTACCCGGCTCCCTAGTTCGAGTGTAATGCCTGCGGCGAAAGTCCCCGAACTCGGACGCGAATAGCTGGTCGCCTTCCATTCGAACGAAATACCTAACGACCACCACGAAATTCAAAGGTCCGTTGTGACTCTCGGAGCTCAACACAATCGATTCGAGTCGTTCGCGAGAGGAGTTCTGAAGGACAGGGATGCCACCCCAAAAGAATGACACCCAATTCCAAGCGTCCTCGGGGACGAGAACACAGGACTGAAACGATGTCTCGAATCGACAATCGACGAAGGCTGTCGCCGCTCCTAATGCATATGCGAGTCGACGAGCTAGCGAACGTATTTAAGAACGGACGGCCGTCGGTCCGGAGAGGCGACAAAGCGCTGCCGATACTCCGCGTCGGATAATTGAAAAATCGAGAGGAAAATGCTTCTGGAAAGAGCCTTTCTAGAACTCCTTTAGATGCGCCCGCCGGCTGCTAATGGAGTCTTGTACGCGCCGCCACGGGGTGTCGTTCATACCGGTGGTCAGTATCCGACTCTGCCGGCCGCATCGACGAGAAACATCCACTCGTAGAGCATGGAGAATCTCCTTCTGCTTCCCTCAGGGTATTCGGGATCTGATCATGGAACCTCATCACCCAGCTCGAAAAAATCAGGAATCCTTCAGCGTCCGTGATTTCACCGCTAGTTACGGGAGAGGTTGAGGTGCGATCGATCCTTGTCGATCAAGCACTTGGTGATGACTCGATATATGGACTAATGGGTCAAGTTGACAAGTCATTGGATCTCTGGGAAAGCGACCGCAACTCTTTCGGTTCCCACGGAGACAGCCGCCAAAAAAACACGAGTCGCACCTCATCACCACGGATCAATCTTCATCTGGCCACCATCGAGTAATTTTCGCTAAACGAGCTTCCTTTTTCTTCCCTAGCGTCAAGCGGCACGTTTCTCCGGTGAACATGATCCCACAATCAGACAATCTGAATAATTCGAATGTCAGATTGCACATACTTCCTTGCATGACGAGCGAATTCAGTGGAAGAAGAGGGCCCGTGCGTTTCATCGCAAGCGAAGATCCCTCCTCCTCCCCCTCGAAAGCATCGACATTCTCTGCAAAGTTCCATTGCAGAGATCAGCTCGTTCAGACATCGCTTAATCGTCACTTCGTTGCGTCGGATCAATCGTTCATGCTGACGAGAATCATCGAAGACCGTTTTACAGAAATCGTTTCTCTTCGAGTTGTGACAGACGCTCCCTTCGGGCGGCTACGGCGGCGTCTTTGAGGAGCAGTTGTAACGAGCCGGGGTTTGTGACATCGCGTTGCATGCCTTCGTGAGCAGTGTTCGTTACGTTTGGTGTTTTATTGCGGCCAATACTTCTGCACCTTTGGCATTTCAGTCTTCAATCGAAAATCCACCGCGACGACGAGCGATTGCGGCAGCGGCACCAACAACGACTCCGTCGGTCGGTCGGTCAGCCGAGCGGTCGCTTGCTTAGTTTCGGTGTGACCATTGCCGCCGCCACGGGAAATCTTCTAGTAGTTTTCGACTCTCCTCAATTTGAAGGTTTCG